CCCCCCCCGTATACAAGCCCAATAAAAATAAATTAAAATTCAGCATTTTTTGATTTGCCATCAATGTAAAATGACAGCTTCTACTTCATAGCTGAAGAAGAAATAAAAGTTCCTGCGACGCTAAATTTTGAAGTCTGCTCAGCCAGTTGGGTTGATGTTATCTTATTAGTCATCCAGATCAGCAGGAAGTTAGTGAGTCTCTTCTGAAACTGACATTAGGAGGGTGTGACATGGCTGCCACCCCAACTGCCCCGCACATCAGAGACGGAAAAACATCAGCGATGGAAAAATGTGATTTGCAGCATGTGACAGTCTACACAGACAGAAACACACCGCCGTTCTCCTGCAGTATTTACACTCCACATACTCGCAAATCATCTGAACTACATGTGCATTTTGCAGTCTCTGCAGGAGGACGAATGATGAATCAGACATCTGCATGACTCATGCTCTAAATGGAACACAGGTTTTAACTGCAAGAAATACAACGGAAGCAACCGCTTGTTAAGAAGCAAACATGCAAACCTACCAACATACAGAATGGGTTGGTTGAAGCAAACCAGTGTAGGGCAAGACAACCCTTTAATGCACCCGTTCCTAGCAGCACATACTCACCTTTCTTTTGCCACCCCCCCTTAGTAAAAAAATAATATAACGCACTTGTGGATATTAAGAAGTATACGGATCAGCCTCACTCCCCTTCCTCTCATCTCCAGTGGTTGGCCATGTGTCGCCATATGACAGCAAGGAGACAGCCCTCAGACTTGTGTAAGCTCTGAATAGAGAGTCAGAGCTCGCACAGGGATTTCTTTCCTCACTCCCAATGGCTGAACATAGCATTGGTGAGTATGTACAGCTAGGTAGGAGTCATTAAAGCAAGCCTGTTGCATTCTGCAGTGCAGGCAAACCTTGGGATTACTTTAACACCTTCCTGCCAGCGTAACGTAAATATGCATTAGCACGGCCCCCCTGAGCTGTCTTATTGTTTACAATCAGGGGCAGGTGGGATGGACTCCCAATCATGTGATCGCTGCCATATGACTGGGATGCCCATCGGTGACTCCCAGCACTAAGATCTCATTAAACGGCCCCCGGGAATCAGAGGCCAGGCGTTAAACCCGCTTGTAGGCCGCGCTAGTGCAAGCTTACTGGAACAGTTATGAAAACTGGACATGATTGCTAAGGGATGCCAGGTTACGGATTTCTTCTGTACCGTCATTGGATAAAGCAACATCTCCGCTTTCCCTATATCAAATTATATCGCACGGAGTATAAGCCAACATCAATGAAGCATTTCTTTTTGCACAAACCCAAGTCACCTTGTGACGTTTTAAAGTGTCTTTGCGGGATTCCACTGGTGTGATATATCTCTATGAGCCAAACACACCTTGGAGAGTTGGTGCATTTCTAGCGTTTTGGGTGTTGCTGCCTCCTTCTCCATATTGAAAAAAATAAATACAAATCAAGATAATGATGATACTCCCGCATAGTGGTCACTTCAGGTGTAACCCTAAGACCACGAGCATGGAAATCCTGCATCTGGATTTACTTAAGAGATTACATAGTACAGTGGTGGCGAACCTTGGCACTCCAGCTGTGCCAAAACGACATATCCCAACATGCATCTGCCTCTGGGAGTTATGTCTGTAGCTGTCAGAGCCTTGCAATGCCTCATGGGACTTGTAGTTCCAAAACAGCTGGAGTGCCAAGGTTCGCCATCACTGACATAGTTTGGTTCCTTCTTAAGCAACTACCGAAGCCTGACTTTTCAGTTTTAGGTGGACAGGCCCTTTAACGAGCAGAAGAATTCAGAGGAAGCTACAGATGTTTGCAAACTAATGTTTTTAACACACCTGTAAAGCTTCATTCACACTCCTGCAATTAGCTTTGCTGAACGCAGAAGTTATCTTGGACTAACAGCTTTTTTTGCCTTCCTGATCACTTTTTTTGTGATTTAGATATTTAACCGCGTTTACATGTTCTGGACAAATCTTAGATGCACCAGATTCCTATTTTTCCTAAACTGACCGCGGCTGAACGCATATAATCGCACCCTGTGAACGAACCCATTAAGTAGTCATTAGATGCGTTCAGAAAAACAAACATTCTAAAGTCATATAAACACATCTAATTGTCACCACAAGAATGTTCTGCAACGAAACCCAGCGGGGTTAGGCCTTAGGTATTCATCAATAGCACTGTTGGCAAAATTAAAAACTGAAAGGATCTGCTGAGTAGCCAGGCCAAATGTATGAAATGCACATACCACCTATGCTGATGAGGTGATGGACTCTCAGGGAGACACAGCTATGTTTTGATACATTCCAGTGTCAGGAACCTCCAACTCTGCCACATGGGACTCTTACTTCCTACTGCTTACACTAAGATTGGACAAATCCCAGGAGCCAGGTAGCCAATGCTCCTTAAAAACACAGCCGGAGCCTAACTTTTGAAGTTCTTTCTAGTTCTTGTAGTTGTTGATGAAGCTGGCTCCTAAAAGAAAAACGAAATCCTGCTGGCTCCTGAATTCTATACTAATGGCTCCACCCCTTGCTTGCGCTATAATAATAAAAAAAAAACAATTACATTTAACAAGGAGCACCAGCACCTCTAATAATGGCGATGGGTGGGCAGAGCTGCATATGCAGGTACAGAGGTCAGTATAGACCCCGAGATACAAGTACCTGGTGGGTTGGAACTACAAACATCTGTTCAAAACTCAACATATCTCCTATAGCTGGACAACTAAGAGCTGCACAGAGTAATATCGAGATATGCCAATACAAAACCAATCTATACGGGCAAGAAAGTTATACAAAGTCTTCAGAGAAGCTTTATGAACACAGCATACGCCAGGAGAAAATAAAGTGACAATAAACTCAGGGGTAAATCTTAATAGTTAAAAGATACCTGAATGTCATTTTAACAAAAAATTATCTTATTTGAGTATCAATCGGCTGTAGGTCCTCAAATCATCTCTGAATTGGTGCTGACACTGTCCTTCCTTCTGGAGGGTGGCTACTTTTGTTCCCCATGGTCCCTGTGTGTGTTGTAAAGTAGTCACCGCTCCAAGCTCACTCCTGTGATGGACTACAATCTCATGTTTAGATTACTGATTTGTACCGAGATTGTAGTCCATTACTGGAGTGAGCTTGGAGTGGTGACTACTGTACAACACACACAGGGACCATGGGGAACACAAGTAGCCCCCCTCCAGAAGGAAGGACAGTGTCAGCACCAATTCAGAGATGATTTGAGGAGAACTATGAGATGAGTGCTTTTCACTCCTCATAGTTCTAGCCGACCTGTGACAATGAGACTGTCACAGGTCGACTTATTAGATCGGTAGGTGAGCGAACACATACCGGCGTGACAGGGGAGGGGCTGGATTCCCCCCGCTCCGCCAGCGCTGACTGGCAGAACGGACGGGGGAGGGGGCGGGTACAGCTGGCTCTGCCTCTAGATAGGCAGAGCCAGCTGTCAGTCACGCAGCTGGGCGGATCCCGACATAATTGTCGGGATCCGCTCCGGCGTCTCAGTATTACCGCGAGCTGCAGCTCGCGGTATACTGAGCCTAGGGTGACGGGAGGACGCTAGTTTGTGTCCTCCCGTTACCCTAAGGAGAGCCGTGGGGAAAAGCCTTAACCCCATTAGTTCTCCTTTAATAGTTAAAAGGTACTTAAATGCATTTTTAAGATTTAACTGCTGAGTTTAGTGTCACTTTAGATGTAAACCACAAGATTATAAATATAGCTATATTAATAAGATAGCATTTATGTTAATAGTTAAAAAAGGTACTTGAATGTATTTTTAAGTTTTATCTGTCGAGTTTAGTAGGCCTGAATGCAACAGACCTCACACGTACCCAATTAGACATCCGAACCTCCTTTGTTATTGCAAAATGTAAAGTTACTGAATAAAAAAAATTTGAAAAAAATAGCAAAATCCGTGTAAGACTTTTTTTTTTTAATGCCCCCCACCCCATCCCAATTGTGCTGTTCATGTCATATAAAGTGGACTTAGAAATAAGTGTACTTTACAATACTGTTACAGAAATAATGTAGGTATTTTATTTAATAAATGCATATATTTTAAGACGCTTTGGAGCAATGTACCTTTTTTTAAACACAGATATCATTCAGGCCAATTACAGAGCTTTTAAGAAAGCCTTGCAATGGGCACTTGATTACAAAGTTGTGCTTTTACATAATCTGATCGTCAAGAAGGCGAACGTTTGCATAATAAGTATTGCTACATGTCAAGGGAACCCTCCTATGTACAGAAGTGAAAACTACTTTGTTTTTTTGGTTTTCCTTCCCCTGGAACAGAATAGATATTTATGAAATGCGACAGCGTCTGCTCCCTATGCTTTCTCGATGTCACGCTGCTGCTTTGTCACCTCTCACTAAATATTGATTAGTAGGATTCGTTTTGCATTCAGCTTACTCATGCATACAATTAAAGTGAGATTCAGGATAGTCCACACATCTGTTCCCAATCATGGCAGATGTAAGGCTAAATATTTATTTCGCACAAATTGTTAGCAAACCAAAAATTTTTTTAAAAAGGTCTAGTAATCATGTAAAGCTTTAAATAGAGATGTATATAGATCTTTAAAAAAAAAAAAAAAAAACAATTTTCCAAGTCAATATTTGTTATAATTCTAGCTAGCAGAACTCTCCTTAAAAACAGCCTAGGTAGAAAAGACAAACTGCGGGGTGATAAAGAATAAATGGCAAAGTTTACTAGCTTGGAGGAGACCTAGCAACATACCCTGTGTGAATGCAGAAATTACAACGGAAACAGAAAAAGGAAAGCGGAACAAGAAAAAAAAGCTTCTACCCCTCAAACCAAACCATTACGTTACAGCTTATAGAGAAGGAAGTTCCTACTTCTTCAAGCTCAGTTTTGAAGTTTGTATGGGAAATCGTGAGGTCGGGATCCTAAACGCAGAACAAGAGCGGGGGAGGGAAAAAAAATAAAATATGTATATATATATATTTATATAACATATTCCAGCCCATACTTTGTAATTTATCAGGACGATCAGTTAGATCAGCATAATCCTCCGACGTTACTTTTCTTCCAATGTATCCCTCTTCGGAGAAGCAACATCGTATAACTGTGTTTTTAAATCTTCTAATAGTCATTAAGATTTGTGGTTGGAGGTTAGCCACGTGAGTCCTTCGTAGAGCCCGTCCCCGCTGGTCGCACAGGAAGGCTGAACATACCAATTCCTATCCCTGATTCGGGTTAGGCCCAGTTTTTCCTGAATCTCATGGGGCTTCATGGCATCCGGAAGGTCTTGTTTATTGGCAAATATTAGGATGATGGCGTCCCTCATTTCCCGGTCGTTGATAATACGGTGAAGCTCCTGTCTGGCCTCGTCGATGCGATCCCGGTCGGCGCAGTCCACCACGAAGATGAGCCCCTGCGTGCCCGTGTAATAGTGCCGCCACAGAGGCCGGATCTTGTCCTGGCCCCCTACGTCCCACACGTTGAACTTGACGTTTTTGTAAGTCACCGTCTCCACGTTGAACCCGACGGTGGGGATGGTGGTGACCGACTGGCCCAACTTCAGCTTGTAGAGGATGGTGGTCTTACCGGCTGCATCCAACCCAAGCATCAGGATCCGCATCTCCTTGTTGCCAAAAATCTTGGATAGCATCTTGCCCATGGTGGAGCATTAAACACGGCTTGGAGAGCTAAAGAATCGGGTTTTTATCTACTGTCCAGCTTCTGAAAAGGGTTCCGAATGGGGGGTAAAATGTCTTTCTCTACCCAAGCAAGCCTTTATCCAGGTAGAGGATCCTCCAAGTTTGTACAGTCCCTCTTGAGCTGTATCAAGGGTCACACTTGTGCTGGTTACCTTTGTAACCTCCAATGCAAGTGTCTGATCTTCTGGCAATGTATCCAGAGGATGGAAGGCTCCAGATGACTTGTATCAGGTAGGTGGCTGGAAGTTGCTAGACACCCGAGTGTCCTACAGCTTTCCCAAGAGGCAGTATCAGGCTTGTGCTGTGTCTTGGGCTTTGCTGCCCCTTTACGGCTCCTGTGTTATAGAAGGTCAAGTAATGATTACACCTCCACGGCGAGGTGCACCTTTGAGATGGTTTGTATGAAGTTTCCAGATTTAGAGGGCAAAACAGTCCTTGGAGTTCAGGATATTCCTCCGAAAGAGACTTTGGGGTGTTTAGAGTTCTGTATCTGAGGTTTGGGTGCCCTCAGGATTATGGACAGTCCACAAGGACAAGAATAACCAGGACAGCGCTCCACACCGGTCCTGAAGATCGGAGTGGCCCTCAGGGAAGTCCAAGGACCTGGGATAACCCTCCAGGGGAGTACAAGGACTTGAGATGACCCTCCACACAAGGCTCAGGCTGTCAGGCACTGATCCCGAACCAGGTCTGATGACACTTATGGGGTTAAGCGAGGTCTGAAGGTCCAGGAGCCTCGTAGCTGCTCCTCCAGCGAGCTCTTGTGGTGGTCAGGGCTCAGGAATACCCTGAGGTGAGATGAGACAGAGCTCTGGTGGTCCTCCGTTTCCCAGGACCAGAGTCTGTGCCTGGGCAGATGGTGAGCCGGCTCCTGCCCTCCTTTGTATGCACGGAGCACAGTCAGCGTCCCGTGTGAGAGGCACTCAGCGGGGTGTCCCGGGTCAGCTGCCACATGAGAAGCTCTTCCCACCCCCCTTTTCTAGGGCTGTGCAGGCCGCCTGCTCCGCTGCCCTGGTGCTCTCAATCCGGCCGGATATCCCCAGTCACTGGCTTCCGGTGCTGGGACTGAGGCGGAGGACTCGGGGGTGGGAGGAGCCGGGACCCCCGGCGCCCGCCACAGCCAGGGAGGGGCCTGCTTCCGAGTGACTCTGAATGAGCCGGGTGCTGGCTCCGCCCACCCGTGCTTGCGTCCTCGAACTGGCTTAGCCGGGCGCGTGCGCAGAGCCGGCGCGCCCCCGCCCACGTTTCAAAAAGCAGCGTCACGTGAAGAAGACGGCTCGTGGGGCCTGGGAAAGGTGTGCGCTTGCGTGACGTCACTCGACAGCTGGGCGGGAGTTTTTTTTTCCTCTTCTTAGTAGAGCGGAAAGTTACCCTCAGAGTTTACGGCTGAGGGTAGCACAGGGTGTAGAGAGAGAGACCCTTGTCTGCCATTATAACATCAGAAACTGCTCTAACAGTGAGCCAAAGATACAAAAAAAGTTTAACCGACATCACTAAGCAATACAAAAATATATTAGGGCCTGCTGGGAGCTTGGCGTCCCGATGTTGCGTTAACGTGCGCTTTTTTGTGCATGGTGACGTGCATTGTGTTAACGCCCTATGTGCAAATGAACTGGGTGGCATCACACCACAAAAACAGGACATGCACCACTTTTGGCAGCACGCTGTGAAGTAGGGTAGAGCGTTAGGCTGGGTTCACACCTGGGCTTATTGTAATATGCGCGTCTGTCGCGCGTTTTTTTTTTAACTGCGATTCCAAAGGCTACTTGGCTTATCCCAATGGAAAACGCACTACAAAACGTCCCAAAGTAGTCCCGGGGCCTTTTCAGGCGTGGGCCGTTTTGTAGGGCGTTAGGGACGGGCGGAAATACGCCAAGGTGGGAACGAGGGCATTGACTACAATGCAATTTATATTTTTGACCGTTTTGTAGAGCGTCCGTCGGGCGTAGGACGCGCTACAAAACGGTCAGGTGTGAACGGGGCCTTACTGTGTGTTGTGGGCCGCTGCAACCCGCATGCATTTGAGTGGCATGACCAGCGTTAATGTGTGTCACGGCAATCCGCATGATGTGCGTTAGTTGTGGTTCACACATCGTTTTGTAGCGCTTTTTCTGCCCTAAAAAACCGCTCCAAAAATCTGCCCCCGCCCCCCCCCCCCCCCAGCC